CCTATTGCAATAAAACGGCAATTTCATATTTTAACCCCTAATATTTTAAAAATATCCCATGTATATTGGCATCTATTTTTCTTTGAAAAATGTCAATTACGTTACAGATCTTAGTATTGCGTTTAAACAGTTTTTTTTTCGACGTCAGCGCACCTGTGAGCAATTTATGAAATTACTTAGATAGAAACCTTAACGACTATTTGAATCTGACGAGAGATGTCGCTGTATGAATTGCAATATTTATTTATTGAAAACCATTTTTTTCATTTAATTTATTTCAGTAACAAGATCAGAACGTCTTGAACACCTGCACCAAATAAAATACGAGGCAGAGAGACAGACATTGATGGAGAAACTCTACGAAGAAGTTGAGAAGGAAATGTCGGATCAGGTAATATTTTTGAATTTGGAAAGTGTAGGCCTGTGCATATAGACAACCACAAATTACACTCAAACTCACGAGAGAAATAAATGTAGGCTATATAATTATTTCACCCGGCCCGGGAAACGAAACCCGGGACTTCTACGTCCAGTCCAGGTAGTCCAGGATGGTAACCGTTCGGCCACAGAGGCAGTTAAAATGTATACTACTAAGCATCGAGTATATAACCAGAATTAGCGACGAAATGTCATTTAATTTATTTGAAAACTATTCTGCCATATCATTACTGTGACAACTGCGCTCCGATTGGCCAGTTCGAATTCGAAACAATTGACGGGTGTCGTCAATTGTTTCACTTCAAATCGACCAGTTAACTTGAGCTTTGCTATAATGGACGAAAATTGCAAAATCACATATTTAATTAGTTGTCGAGTCACAAAGGGCTATTGGTTGTTTATTCCGCTTTCGAAGTAAAACTATAGTAAGAATAATCCACAAACTTGCATTATTTGAACGCGACATAACTGTGCTTTTTACAGGACTCTCCTGACTCGGAAAACATGGAGGAAGTTGCAAAAAATAAACTCATGGACAGTGGTTCACAAATTGCTAAAGTTATGAAGAGGAGTGCGGATCACGCGGATTTCAGGGTAAATATAGATTTAGATATGAAAAGTTGACGTGATACGTATGAATTTGTACTACATGTAGACTGTCCTAATCTATGAGTATCACTAATTCCATGGTTACGCATACCTATTTACGTTGCAAAACAAAACTTATTAGAATAATAGCAAACCTTAAAGAAACAGGTAGTGGGACGACCTGACCTCAATACATATCTGTGAGATTTCTAAATTTGTTAGTAAAAACCAGATTTTTTTTAAACGCCGACAAGACATTCCAACACATCGAATATATAACCAGAAATACAGACGAAATAAAGTCCGTATATTCCTGGTAACTCATCAATGATACATCACTTCGATACCTCCAATGAACACTACGCCAACTTAATTTTTGGACCTGTTCTGTTTTTATTGTTTTTTGTTTCGTTTTTTGGTATTTTTTTCGGATTTCTTTTCTTGGTTTTTTGTTTATTTTTCACAAAATTCGAGGAGCATAACAAATAATTAAAGTAAATAAATATGGCTGTTTACAAAAAAAACAGAAAATAACCAAAAAATAAAGTTGGCGTAGTGTTAATTGGACATAGTTAAGCAAAAACGATCCAATCCACAAAATTATCAAAAAATGAGTTATATATACCAAACAGTTCCTAAAGTCTAACATCTTAGATCAGCAAAAAAATCCGTCATATAAACATAAATAAATATCTCTGGAGTTACATGACATTATACATTTTGATAATAAAACAAGAGTGAGAAGCACTTTTAAATTTCAAACTGCCAAATCTCGAAAGTGACTGGATGTGCATTTGATTTGATTTGATTTGATTTGATGTGATCCTTTTTGTTTAACTACGTCCAATTGGAGGTATCGACTTATAAATATCAACTCTTGTTTGCACTGAAATAAAGACAGGCCAACAACTGACCTGTGTTTACGTCTCCGTATACTCCAAAAATATTCAGTTTTTATTCTAATAAAGAAAAATATGTCTAACAATGGCATACTGTTCCATTCGGTGGTGTGGAGAGAAACAGCAAAACATCTAATTACAAAACAAACGGAATCGAATTTCATCGGTAATTAAATATGTAATTTTTCAATTCTCGTCCATTATAGCCAAGCTCAAGTTAACTGGTCGATTTGACACTTCAAATCGATAGAGAGAATATCAACATCACCGGGCTCTCTTTCGCCATGCGTGGTTTACTTACCGCATATTATAAGACAAGTTTTATCTATTACAGAATCAACTAACGTCTTCACAAACTGTGCTTTTACAAGACCACGCAATACGGGAACGCGAACGTCTACTACAGCTGATACAAACCAGGGTTCAAGATAAAATGTCCAGATTTGGCTTGCAGCAAGTTAGAAATGTTGTACCCTTATTGAAGATCAGAGTTGTTGGTGTTGATATGAAAAATAACTGCAAAGTGACTAAAGGCAAGTTAATGTTTCCCTCGTGATTCAATGAATGAATACAGTGTATTTTTTAATGGGATAGTATGGAAAAATCTGAAACCATGGAAAATACAAGGAAACTGTCTTAGGAACCATTAAGCCTTTTTTGTGAAAACAATTTTGGCATTGTCAATTTTTTGGTCAAGCGTAAGGTGTCCAAAAATAAATAAAATTGATCTAATTTTTTTTTAGTGCTGATCGACTTAGTTTTATCATGGACCAATAACTCAAGAGGACTGCTAATCGTCATACAAGATAGCGTAGCCGGGTATTTAGTACCTATTGGTACACTAGATGTCGCGACGATTACCAAATAGCTATTTTGTAACGTTATTTTACATTGACACATTGATTCTATCAAATCTGCTTCTAGTGATAACAAACACGTCAACTAGATGGCGCTATATTTTACCTCAAAATGGATATGCACCTGGAGTCGTAAAAAAAAACAATCGCAACTCACAACGTTTCCATCCTCTAAATAATAACTAGAACACTACTTTGTCTATTCTAATGCCATTTAGACATATTGATAGTTTAGCTTAAAATTATTCATATTTTAATGTTACTGGGTGTAAGAAGCGAGAAAAAACAATGGCTACGGTGATTTTAGGCTGAGAACACCGAACGTGCGAAATAATATTTTTTAATTTTATTTGTAATTCCAAGAAGTATGATATCGCAGATATTGCATTGGTCCCAAAGGGTCATATCGGAACGCCACACAGTGGGCCCAAATTGATAATTCTTGGACATAGGAATAACTTGTGGAGTATCGAGCAAATTTTTTTTATGTGATATATAATAACATTCCTAACAACTTTTATTCTTGTATGATTTCTTGAAAAGTTGATAGATTCAGAGAAAAAAAAATTTTTGTATGGACAAATATACATTTTATTTTTTATCTCAAAATATACGAAAATCTAATGTGCGTGGGTTACTCACAGTATAGTTCCAGTCATTTTCTATGTAGAAAAAAATAATCCGTCTGCATGTACTTGCGGCTTTGTAAATAAAGGTGCGGCAAAATTGCTAACTCTTTTATGTACTTTTTTAACAAAATACATGAGGTTCGTGTAATCTGTGTGTAATATGTCATCCATTACAAACAGTGCATAAAGTCCAACAACCCAGTATAAATTAATCTGAAGGTAATTAAAAATAACGGAAATAAAAAGTATAAATTTTAGGCTAAATAATTATTTAATCATGATACAATTTTAGGAATACAGACCTGATTTTTTTCACATGATACATAATAACATTCCTGATAACTTTTATTGTTATGTAATTTCTTGGAAAGCTGATTGTTTCAGAAAAAAATTTTAGTTTTTTTTTTGTTTGGAGAAATAAACATTTTATTTTTTTATCTCGAATTGTAGAAAAATGTAATGTGTGCTTTATTTACAGTATAAGTCCAATCATTCTCTATCAAGAAAAAAACAATCCATCAGCAGGTACTTGCGACTTTACGAGTAAAAAGATGTCAAAATGTTAGATTTGTTATTTATTAAAAAATAAAACACAATATACTAGTTTCTACTTAACTTTCGTGTTATTGTTATAACGCTCTGTGTAATTTAGCACTAAAATTAAATTTTCTTTAGTCGAAGCTCATGTATTTTGTTAAAAAAGTACATAAAAGAGTTAGCAATTTTGCCGCACCTCTACTTACAAAGCCGCAAGTACATGCAGACGGATTATTTTTTTCTACATAGAAAATGACTGGAACTATACTGTAAGTAACCCACGCACACTACATTTTCGTATATTTTGAGATAAAGAACAAAATGTATATTTCTCCACAAAAAAAAATTATATTTTTTTTCTCTGAAACTATCAACTTTTCAAGAAATCATACAAGAATAAAAGTTGTTAGGAGTGTTATTGTCTATCACATAAAAAAATTAGCTCGATACTCCACAAGTTATTCCTATGTCCAAGAATTATCAATTTGGGCCCACTGTGCGCCACCGCAAACGGATGACAATTTAGACTTCCTTTAGGTTATACTATATTGCTCAGATTTTTATAGATACTTCCAAGTATTCTTTTATTTTGTTTAGGATTTGCGCCATCTAACTATATTCGCAAGCGTTACGTTATTAATTAGTTAACAACGAACAATGCCATCTATTGATACGCATAAATATCGAAGTTCAGAGAATAATTTTAGTTTATTACTAAATATTTGAAAAACATTACAAGAAAAATAGAATATCTACTATATTTCCTATAAAAGAGGAGTTAATCGATATCCATGGCCATTTACGTAAATATAAACTAATTCCAGGCTATCGATCAGCGCCATCTAGAAATAAGACGGAATTTTGACCTTTTTCAGAGCTACGATTTTTAATATGGAGATTAGCAGTCCTCTTGGGTTATTGGTCCATGGTTTTATGTAAAGATCATTTTATTGTATAGAACGAAAAAAATCAGGACAGTAGAAGTTGGTCAAATTTCATAAAATGTTTTTCGTGCAAAATGAATAAAATTGACATTTTTTTTGTAACGCTGATTGATTCAGTTTCTTATGGGAATTATTTTATAGTATTGTAAGAAAAGAATCAGGGCAGCAGGGCATTATTCATTTTGTATGAAAATAACAAATTATTGTTATAATTATTAAAACATAGATCAAACACTAAGAAAAAATTCCTCTTTTTCTCATAGATGGCGCTACGGCTACAAAATCGTTGAAAACCAAATACAAAGACCCGACAATAAGCACATAGAAAAATTCGTGAGGTCCGCTGGTTCGTTCCGTGACTTAGTTGGCATTGCGTCTGGCACGGATTGTTAGAAGACGTCGGTTCGAATCCGGCCGGATCGAAGGAATTAAAAAAAAAAATTATCTTTGTATTAATAATTATAACAAAGTAGTGGAGTAATTTCATAAAAAGTAATTGAATATCAATTCAATACAATTTTTAATAACGAATAATTTATCAATAAAATAAACCTGGAAAAAGGTTTATGATGTATGAGATGTCGCTTTGACAATTGTTTGTTTATTTTCCCTATCAGTATATAGTTATATAACATTGAATTTTTTTTGTAGCTTTTCTGTCAATATGGAAACCGAACGATGCAGTATTGGAAATCATAAAAGAAGGCATTTGGATTGAAGTCCTGAACACTATACCGACGGCAATCAGGTGATTTTTTAGGACTAGAGAATCGTGTTATTATTGTCTATTTGTTGAAGTACCTGTCGGTGTATGTTTAGTAACATTTAAGGCGTCTTCAAATTAGACGGTAGTTCAGTGGCGCGGACTTCAAAAAGAAAAAGGAGGAAGTTCAATTCGGCTGTATTTATTTGTGTTTATTTTACACAATTTATGAACCGATTTTGATTATTCTTTTTTTGTTGGAAAGAAGATACCTCAGTATTGGTCCCATTTAAATTTAAAGAAAATGTTCCACATCTAAAGGTGGCAAACCATGAGACGAATCCGATTTCGCGCACTTTTCGGAAACAGATTTCAGTATGAAGTTTGGCAAATAGATGTAATTCCAATAAAAAAATCGATAAGCAAACTTTTGAGGTTTTTTTATAAAACGATAAGTTATAGTTTTTTTAGCTCACTGATTGTGACTGAAAAAGTGCGCTACCAAATATTGTTTGTTGCGGCTGCAGCGCTTTTGTAAGCGTGTAATTTGAAGGCCGCCGTGTCAAAGATTTACTGTATTTTATTCGTCGTGAACACTATAGAAAAAATATGACGGATATTGCTTTACGTGTCTACTATTTTATACACTTTCTTTGACTTGAATTCAAGGTAAAGAAAAAAAATCATATTATTTTGACAGTTGCCCTGTGTTGCCCTTTTTCTTTTAGAAAGATTACTGCGCTAGCTGTAAAAGATTATAATGTTGCTTCTTTCAGTAGAATATAATAAATATTAATGTGTTCTTTTTAGTGATTGTTAGGGCACGCTGTAAAATTTTCCTTACGACATTGTCAAATATTTCAAGCTGTCTCTAGTGAAAACTGTCATAGTAAACTCACACACAAATATTTTTTCACACCCACGCCCTTTTGCTCTTTTATTCTTATTTGTCGATCCTTTTTGTTTTAAAGATTTTATTGACTACTTCCATTGAATGACTACTTCATAGTGTCATCTCCTATTTAAGAGCCAGGCTCTTATGGGTGTAGCCTCTTCCACTCCTCATGGGTCATACATAGTCTCATTCACTCACTCATTAACTTCATTCATTCGTTCATTCACTCATTTTGGCAATATTCTTTATTTGTTCACTGTATGCCATTCTTGGTCTTCCTCCATTTCTTTTTTCTTCATAAATGCATCACTATGTAACAGATGTCTGTCCACACATTATCCCAAAACCTTTTTGATACTTCTTTATTTGATATCTTCTAAATCCATTTTACTTTCTCCATTTGCCTTAAGCCTCATAGTGTAACTGCTTCCGTGGCCGCACGGTTACCATACTGGACTGCCACGCAGAGGACCCACGTTCGATTCCCGGGCCGGGAGAAATATTTGTACGGCCTACATTTATTTCTCTCTTGAGTTTGGGTGTAATTTGTGATTGTCTATGTGTGTGTGTCCATGGCACCCGCGACACAGGGTTTCCCTGGTGCGGGACTATGTTGAGTATGTGCGTTATTAATATTATTTGCACTATTTGTACATTACTTCGTTATTCGTAATTTCTTGTTTTGTTTACAGATATTCAGAAATTCAAATATCAGCCGGTCGCCAATCTGTTTTCAATCTTTCTAAATACAAAGAAACGGAAAAACTCAAAATTCTCTTGGAGCCCCTGAAAAGAACCTGCTACCCTATAAAGGACCTTGTCAAAAACCCATCTTTGACCACAGAGTATAACGAAATCGATACTCTGGGATTTATTTTTTTAATCCAACCTGCAATCAACGAGTTCGATTGCAATAAACATCAATTTCAAAACGTCTACCTCACCGACGCAGATAAGAATATAATTTGTGTAAATTTTTGGGCTGGCCTAAAAAAGTTTGGGTTCGAAAATGTTTTAGATACTGGCCAGATTGTCGCTTGTATGAATTTGCAGAAACGAGCTGGCAACACTCGAAAACAAATACTGCAATTTCGAGTAACTGAGTTTTCATATTTTACAAAAACTCCTAAACATGAAACTGCTAGAAAAATGTTGGATGATTTGTCGAAGATCTTATCAAGTTTTGATAAAACGAAATTTGTTGAAGAGTGCATGAACTTGAGGCAAAATTATGCACTGGGAAAACTGCATTGCAATGAAAATATTTCTCCGTACAGAATGCCTAATATCGATATTAATTCTCCAAAAAACAAGATTTTCGTTGATTCTCCTTTACATCAAAAGCTCAACAAAATAGAAGAGAATTTAAACCTCACCGGCTTAGATTTTGAGTCTACATTCAAACAGATGGAAATGCAAGAATTGTCACCTAGAACTTTGATCAGAAAACAACAAATTGAAGAAAAAATTGCAAGGTTAAGAATGTATGGAGAACCGCCACCATTAAGTCCAATGCATATTTTGAATAAATCGAAAAACGCGGGAAATTCATTCAAAAGCCCATTCTCGAAATCTGACGTTTCAAGCAGTGTTGCTAGTAAGGAAAATTTGCCAAATCAGCTGGTTATTGCGGAAAAAATTGAAGATACAGAAATTCAACGCAGTCCAGTGATTATGAATAGAACTTATGTGAAAAGAGTAAATGTAAATCCAGTAAAATTGAACTTTGATAATACGGAAGAAGAGGATAATAAAAGTGAAGTGATTGATGATTTTGGAGAAGAGTTTGACGGTAGTCCGCCTTTGAGTTTAGAATAAGTTGTAATATTATTTTAAGTGCAACACTATTGTTAAGAAATAAGGAATGTTTAAATATTGTTTTTTTATTCGTTGAAAATGTTGATTAATCGATTACGTTAATGATTGTGTACCAGCACTAATAAGTGTAATTTAAATATAATGAATACATTTTTAATACACTACCCCTTTTTTGTCTATTCTGCTCTTCCCAATAGGTATCACTATGTGCTAGAAATGCTAAAAACCCCGACTAAATACTTCATTTTTACAATTATTATGACCAAATTAATTTACTATATTTGACACCTACACATTAAAATTAAAAATTGCATAGGTTTTTTACTTTCTGTGCTTTTTTTTTAAATTTCTTGCTGCTCTTGAAGAATACTGTCTATGCTAAGTCAGTCGTGGGAGTTACATCCTTTTATTTATGTTTAGCTCTTAGAGGATGGAAAGAAAAATTATCTAATTTTGAAGTCTATTTAGGCTTCCGAAATGTAAACAAATTGTTTATCTATCTTATATCTTTAGCGTTGTTCAAACAATTCACAAGGAAGTTCATCATTCGTAAAAAGATATTGCTATAATCCAGTGATCTTATATACTTAAAAAAAGCTATAATCATAATACAAGCCGTAATACTATTATGATAGAATAAAAACTCGTAATAATTATGTGGCATGCCATCTGTGCTATTTGATTATTGTTTTTTTTTTTTTACTTTATTTTTTTTTTATACGCGCCTATTACTACACTACTCGATTTCAAAAGACACCCTAATTCTGGAAGTTATGGAATTAGGGTTCCTAATTTGGACGACTAAGTTGTTAGGACACCCATAACTTATGGCCCTTGGAAACGGGTAGTGTCAGCCCCCAGTAACATGACGCGAAGGTCTTCGCTCGACCGCCACACGGCGACTGCCCAGTTACCACGCTTTCATGTACATTAATGGCGAATCTGAATTATATTTACTAGGCAACAATATTTAAATTCCTCTGAATAATGCAACCGCGTGGTAGACCAAATACAAGCCAGACTCGCCCGCGTGCCCAGGTCGCTCATTCAAGTTAAAACGTAAAACTAAATAAATAAAGCGTATTTTGCCATGACAGCTGTTTGAGGCCAGATGAGCGTAATTTTGTAAGTTGCGCTCGACCGAAATTCGGTTGGAGCGTCTGACGAACATATTTTATTCAGTTGATTTTAAGAGTTTATACGGGGTGTTTGTGTCGTACTAGTGTAATGGAGCCATTAAAAATAGTATGCATGTATGAAGCATTAGAAGACGATGTTTGAAAAAGAAAAAGAAGCTTTGTACATCCATTCAATATGAAACGATTAAAGTGTGGGCAGTTTCATATTTTATATACAGGTTTATGTGAACATTCAGATCAATTTGTTAAGTACTACCACGTGCATGCACATGTTTTTCAAGAATTATGTTGAACCTCACTGATAAATTTTTTCGTATCGAACATTTTCACAAGAAACGTCTATATTGACGCGCATCCTGTACCAAAGTGACCCCTTCCCTCACCCCTATCTCCACCCGCGCCAGCCCGACACACGATGCGACCAAAAGTCAGTCGTCATTACGCTCGTGAGTCGGTAGATAGCTCATTTTGCGTCGTCGTGTGAAACAAACCGTACTTTTATATGAAACCGAACTGCGCAACTCAAAAAACGTAACTCACCACTCACAAAATTACGCTCGTCTGGCCTCACACTTAGACGCACGCGGCCTTAACGCGGGGTGAGCGCGATGAAATTCGTGTTGAAATAATGCGCCCTAAGAGTATAAAGTACCTAAAAAATAATTAGTACTTTTTAAAATCTATTCTCAATTTTGTTAACTCCTTCCCGGACACACAATTCGAGTCACCTAGTATTTTCAGTATGCCATAAGTGTAAACATCTTTGATTGATGACAAACTATTGCACAATTTTGAAACTAGTATACTAAACGTCTTTTCTATAAGTCATTCTTGAAAATTTGCAAAACCGGGGGAAAACTTTTTATTCGATGATAACACTATTTTTGTATTCTACAAAGACAAAAAATGCGAGGTGTCGTCAATTATGTGTCCGGAAGTATATATTGGAACTTAACTTCCATTTAGTAATTTTCCCTTACTGTTGTTTTTGATTTTTGATGAACCTATTCTGTCCCACCGCTGGACAAATGTCTCCCCAAAAATGCTCCATTGTTCCTTGTTTTTTTTATTTCAACTAAAGTTTTTTCAAATTCCAAAGTACAGATTTGCATTATTTTTGAACTGGTTATTATAACTACATTATATTATAAAAATTGATTTCTTTCAAAAACTAGCAACCCTTCTGTCATTTCAAGGTGACCTTCACCGAGAACTAGTTTTCAAGTTTGACATATTCTAACCTACAAAAACTATTTTCATTTGTAATTTCTACCCGCATAGACATGTATAGCGAGCGGAAATTTCGTAAATAAGTTCTAAAGACATTTTAGTTCAATAAAAAGTTATAAAACCACTTGTGTTGTGGATTTTTCAGTGATAAATCAGTGCCGTGTTGTGCCACTTCAGTCGTCAGTTGTTTTTATTTTTTTTCAACGGTAAGTTTGAGTTTTTATTACTACTTTATTTTGGATGTCGTCTCCTTGGTTCATTGAAAAGAAGCGTGGTTTAAAAATAGTTCGTATCCGTGGACTTCGGAGTGTGAAAACTTCGATTAGCTTTTGTTTTATTTATTTTTCATAACTTTTTACGACAAGGTGAACAACGTACAGTAGAAGGTATTTATCGTATTTTATAATTACATCCGCTAAGTAATACAATGTTCTTTTATGTAAATATAAGAAAATGACATAATAATTTTGCGATAACACAGTGCGGACAAACGCCGGTTAGTCGATAATTTTGTGACATAACAGTATTAAATACTTTCCTTATCAAGAAATACATGTATTAGTTTTTAAAATTTTTACTACATAGATGTATAAACTACTTGTACTCATATACAGTGAAATAATCTTGATTTCAAAGCAAATTACACTTGAAATTGTCATATTTAGTAGCAGTAGAGCTCCTCATGAAGAGTGTTCAGGGAAGTACTGCCATTTTACCTATTTCTGCCGCCAAACAGTAATGTAAGCTTCCCTCAGTGTACCGGGTGCAGTGATAGTGCCTCTCAGATCTTTGCAATTTAAACTTTGAGTGGCACCGCAATTGTTATGGGTAGATGCGTTGCTTACCACTAGGGCACAGTTGGTTGATATAAAAAAAGGTGTGATTGTGGTTAACCATGTGTCTATTCTATGTCAAAAAAGTTCACCAAAATATGGGACAGTCAACAACCTGCCCAAGGTCAGAGCAGAAACTTTGCTCCCATTGGTTGACACATTATTACAGTGACCTGTGATAAGATGATGAGAGAAAGCACTATTACATTGTTTGCATAAAGTGCACATTCTCATTTCACTTTCACTTGTGATAAGCTGGTGAATAACCTTGTTAATCTATAATGATGATTCTCAAAGTGTTCTATTTTGACCCTCGAGGGGTCCACTATAATCTATGAGGGGTCCATGTCGACAACAACAAATAGGGTTGCATGACGCATTAATGAGGGTCCACAGGAGTAGAACCCATTTATTTATGAAAATTGGTAAAAAAAAAAAATATTGTTTGTTTTCTTTTTGTCGATCTTTGGAAATGTAAAAATTAAACACTACATTAAGTATGTATAAGTTAAAAATGTTAAATATGCATTTATAGCTATGGAAGAGCGGTGCCTCCTGACACAGGCTTGATAAGCTTAATAGGAGGTACCATCCACTGTTAATGTAAAGTTAATTGTATTACTGAAATAAACATTTATTTATTATATTTATTTATTTATTTATTATTATTATTTAGGCAGGTTGTGGCTAAAAACTTTTTTAAATATGCCTGTCCATAACAGTTGCAGTGCCACTCAGAGCTTTAAATCACTAAGATCTGAGGGGCACTGCCACTGCTCACCATGAGACATAAGTTAACAAGTCCCATGTGCCCGTAATTTCATCGGCATAAATGAAATAATCCACATTACACAATATTAATGACAGCTCTCAAGTAATGCATTCACATTTTGATAACTTTTGAGATATTCATTAAAAATGTCAATGCTAGAAAATTGTCAATTACGCTGATTTTGTTTAACGACTGCACTGAAACTAAATAAGATATAGAAAAAAACTGCTTGCAAGGGGTTGTAGATCTCATTGCACTGATTCCAAATATGTTAATTACGCAATTTCGCTAATAATAATAATAAGCACTTATTTCAGACATAACAAATCCATAGAATTACAATAATGTTGAATTAGAATTAAATATTACATATAATAAATAGGTATACTTAATTATTCATCATTAAAATCCAACGTCGCAATTTGGACATGTCGCAACTGCGAGCTATAGCAGCTATAATGCTATTAGTACCATCTAGCACTTATTGTCTAAGAGAAGAAACCATCTTTCTATGCACAGCAGTAAACCTGTCTGTATGTGCTAACAAAAATAGCTCTAAATACATAATTATAGCTCTAAATACATTATATTCTATGGTACAGTTAACCCACAGACTACACATACATAAAGAGCATTACTTTAACGTGATCTGAACACAGTGCAAATCTCCTGGCCAACATATTACCACGCGTTGCCAATGCCCTTCTTTCTCGCTCATTATCTTTATTATCACTAAGACTTTCACTAACTATATGACCAAGATAACGGAATTTATCTACCCTGATCAACCTACTACCTACCACTCAGGCACACATCAGGAAAAAAATGTGGTCCTGTCTTGTATTTCAAGACCATAAAAACTGTATTCTTCAAAGTTTTCTTAAAAAAATGTCCATTTATGTATTTATTTATTTCCTTAACAATAGTTATTGTTACATTTTTTTTATTGAGTTTATATTAATTTTTTTTGTATAATTGCTCCACTAGGTTGGTTTATAATTATTAATACAAAGATCGTACACTTAGAAAAAAGAAAAAAGATTCGAACCGACGTCTCTTAGCAAATCGTGCCAGACACTAAGCCAAGTAAGGGTCGTATTGGTATTGGTATTGGTATTGGTATTGGTGCAACGGGCTAGTTTCCGCAACTCGACGTCGAGGCGCCTATTTTGCGTGTGGTGGGTGCAGGGTCCTACTCGTGCCACCCAAGCTCCTCGAGGAATCTCAGCAGCCTCTTCGGTTTTCTGAAGACTTCGGGGAGCGACCTCGGCACTCCAAGGTACTTTGCCCTGTAGTTGGCCACACCGGAGCACTCTAGTAGGATGTGTGCGGCCGTTTCCTCCCCCTCCATGCACGCTCTGCATAGAGGACTGTCCGTGATACCTAAATTGAAGAGGTGTTTATTGTATGGACCATGACCCGTTAGAGCGGCAGATAGAGTGCGCAGCTCTTGTCTTTCAAGCTTGATTAATTTACGAGATAGACTGGCGTTGAGCGTTGGGAGTGCTTCCCTAGCCTGTCTACAAACCGTAAGGGTTGTCCATATGTTATTATGAGAAGATTTTGTACCTTTGAGTATGGTTGTTCTTGACCATTGGTTGGGGAGGGACACTATGGGTTCTGGCCCTACAGCATCCGTCTCCGACCCTTTTCTAGCTAGTTCGTCTGCTGCGTCGTTGCCACGTGAGCCGTTGTGTCCTTTAATCCACTGTAGAATTACGTGGTTGTGTGACGTGTGTTACGACTAAGGGTCATATTCTAGAACTCTACTCAATGCTCAATTCAGGATTGCACTGGAAACACAAGCACTGGAAATACGGCCCTAATGGCAGGGACTTGAGTATGATTTCGAGTGCTTTAAACCTGACTCAAATCCTGACTTGAGCATTGAGTAGAGTTCTAGAATACGACCCTGAGTGTCGTAAAAATAATTAAAAAACTTAAATCAAATACCAGGCCAATCATAATGCACAATATTATTATATAGCCTTTTGAAGTTGAAGTAGGGATATTTTACATTACAATTTTACCTTTATTTTAAATATTTACATTATATCCCTTAACTCAGCGTGCCTCTTGGCATAGGCCCCCTCCAGATTCGTCCAGTGTGCTCTATCAAGAGTTGCTCTTCTCCAACCAGTCAACTTCAGCTCATCCTCCCATCTTTGGTGCCTCTGCTTCGCTTTCCATCACGCAGGTACCAATTGGTGACAATCTTGCTCCATTTTTCCGGCCCACGCAACAGATGCCCAGTCCATCTCCATTTTGCCTGATCTATCTTTGAAAGCATATCGATTACCCTGGTTCCTCTCCTAAACTGTCAATCCTGACTTTTTGGATTTTCCTCAGGCCAAGCATGCTGCGCTCCATTGCTCGTTAACCCGCCTGTAGTTTGCTTCTGTGTACTTATTTAGTGACCATGTTTCGCACCCATAAGTTAGGCATGGAACAATGCGTAAGTTGAACGTCTTTCATTATTTCCTTTAGAGTCCAATATTTCCTCCAGCCGCTTGCCAGTCTATTCTCAATTTCTTTACATGTTTGATCATTTGGAGAGATGATACAGCCAAGGTAAGTATATTGCTCCACGTTTTGTGAAGGCGTTCCATCTACGCTTATTTTGATCTTTGACTTGGTGTTAGTCATTACCTTAGTCTTATTAGTGTTCATCGACAAACCAATCTTTTTGCTTTCCATGTTAAGAGAGTGTAGCATCCTTTCTAGCATTTCAGGTGATTCTTCGAACAGCACCAAATCGTCGGCGAATCTCAGGTGGTTCAGTTTTATTCCATCTATTTTCAGGCCATACTCCTCCCATTCCAACTTCCTAAAGATATTTTCCAGCACTGCCGAAAACAGTTTCGGCGAGATAGGCTAACCCTGCCTGACGCCTCTCTCGATAGGGAACTCTTGTCATAAACATTCTTATTTTACTCTAGCTTTGCTAATGTTGAATAGATGTTTTTTATTATGTTAATAGAATAGAATAGAATAGAATTATTTATTTCATATTATCAATTTCATAATATCACAATTCGAAATATAATGTCAAGGGATAACATGATCGTCATTAAGGTAAATAATAATTTTAATGTTAATATAAAATAAAATAATTAAAAGAGAAATAAAGAAAAATACGAACTACAAAAATACAAATAAAAATTTAAATATTTACTACAAACGTCCAAAATTAAAAATATAATTCATTGACTTACAAATAAATGGACGACGGGTCTAATACAAAAACCACGAAAAAAATGTCCCAAGTCAACCTATTTAAACGTAGTGACATGTAAAGGAATATGAAAAAGCTAAAACGTTGAATTTAAATTGTAATGTCATCGCAGTACTGTCTAATTTTGCTTGCTTCGCTGTCAGTCGAACAAACGAAGACTAAAGCGTGAATGACGCTCTGTATACGATTTTAACGCCCTATAAGTTCGAACACTTTTTAGCGCGGACCCGACGTCCATATAATTGTAAGTCAATGATATAATTACAATTTCTCTAAAAGAAATTCCTCTACACTGTAGAATTCATTACCCAATAAAATGTCTTTCAGTCGGGAACAAAACACTTCGTCATTTGTAACACTTTTTAG